AGAATTTGCGCTAGTTTATTTAACGAAAAATAGCCAAAGCGCAAATTGGAGCAAAATGTTATTAAACACGTAATTTTTAAGCAAAAAACAAAGCCCGACTTCAACACTCATATGTATAAAAATTTAGGAGTATCTTAAGAAATTAAGATGATTTCATGATTTAATGATACAAATTTTATTAACGTAATCATAATAATAAGATTTCTGGAGGTATTATCAAATTGATGCAATTGCGTAAATCTTAATGTTTGTCCGAAATATTTTGGCGTAACTCTTAATAATTAATAATAATTCCGGTGGAAAAAATTATACTGTTTTTTTTTTGTGAGTCACCCTAATGTATATGTATATATATCAGAGCAGTAGAAAGACCCTAGCAGGTGGTGGTGTTCCCGGTTTTTCATCGGCATTGCGCTGCCACAGCAATTTACCATTCAAGACTACTCGCAGTAAACTCGATGCTACCTGGCTTCGGTGGTCATCACACCGGAACCCTGTACCTCCTTGTGAGCAGTATCACACGTTCGTTTTGTCAGCTTCTATCATTTTCAAGGTTTTGTTCTTAACATTACCAATATTTTTTATGTACTTTCCAATTACTTTCCGCCGCTATCTTATCCACATGAGCCACTAATGTGATTGCTTACCCTTTGAATTCACTTAGTAATTTATTGACTATCGTTAACCATTGGTGCGGTGACACCACACCCCTTTACGTAGTGCCTGTGCATGCCTGTTTGATTACGTCTGTACTTCCTTTATTTAGATAATAAATTACACCGTGCGACAGCCGATACCAGCCCGGGCTCTGTTAACATTTTCTGAAAGTATACCCATCCAGCAGTACTAGTAGTACTAGAGTTTTCATGTCTCGACCTAAGTAGTTCTCAAAAAAGTTGACACATGTAGTAAAATTCCATGGAAAATATTTTCGTAGATCATTTTAACCCATTAACTCCCGCCTAAAAGGGTCGTTTTGACCCTTACTGCAAGAAACCCTGCAAAAAAGCAAATTTGTATAGTCGTTAGAGGATTGGTGTATTCTAAAAAATTATTCTTTGGAAAATTTTTCTGAGGGCCTTCTCAGCCAAAAACTTCATGCCATCAAATTAAAAGTCTTTATAAAATTAAAACCTTAACGTGTTCGTGTCTCAGCCTAAAACGTTTTCCAAAAAATGGAAAAATGGTTAAAATGAATATCTGAGCGAAGTTAAAGGTTAAGACATGTATGCTAAAATTTCATGGGAAATATTTTCGTAGATCATTTTAACCCTTTAGCTCCCGCCTGAAAAGGTCATTTCGACCCTAACTTCAAGAAACCCCGCAAAAAGCAAATTGGGAAGTTCGTTAGAGGATTGATATATTCTAAAAAAGTATTCTTCGGAAAATTTCACTACGGATCTTCTCAGGCAAAAACTTCATGCCAAAACCGTGGTCTCCAAAAAAAAATAAAACAAAAAATCGATGCCAAGAAATAATAACAGCCAAACTCAATTAAAAAAAAAAAAATTGTAAAAGAAAACAAGTTTTTTGTTGATTTTTTATTTTACCTTTTCGGAGACAAAATTTTTTTTTTATGTATAAAAAATTTTTTTTGTATTTCAATGTAGAAATATTTTCCAATGTGCTAAATAAAATAAGAATAAGCACGCGAGCTGTGTTTATGTGAGCGTCATCAGCAATTTTTTTCGAATCATATTTTGTTTTTTTTTTTTGTATAGTTGGGTTTCGTGATAAATTTACAGCCGATAAGATAAGATAATAGCAGGCATTCGATTGTATATGAAACTTTCATATGGCAAACTAAAAAAAATATATATAAAATATATTCAACAAAAAAAGTACGTATTAGCTAGCAGCAACAATAAAATATTTATGACCTTTCAGCACATTTAGGTGATCAATTGAATAGCTAATAAAAAAAAAAAATAAAAAATATATCCCAGAAATACAAGTTCTTTAGTAAGGCAAAACACGAAGAGAAATTTCAACTGGTACATAAAAAATTAAAAAATCTTTAGAGCTTTAAACGATAATTACAGACATCAATTATTAACGACAAAATATTTACAATTATAATTCAATTCAAAATATTTCAAAAAATTTATATTTGCAATTTAAGCACTCCTATATAACAAACAAACAAAGATCATAGCAATTTATAAATTTTACAAATTTCCCACACCTTGTCAACTGGAATAAAATCTTTATTATATGTTTATCGATTTTCAGTCTCATTTCCACGCTCACACACACCTACGTATGTATACATACATGCATACAAAAATGTATGTGTGTGTGTTGAGTTTGTGTGAAAATGTTTCCGATTGCACGCACTGATCTCAACAACTTATCGAAAAGCACTCAAGAACTCATTGTGGTAAGTTAATTTTTTGTATAGAATTCCTACATAAATACCGCCCCTACCCTAAAAAAAAAAAATTGCTTTAAAATGCTACAAATGCGTGCATATGCATAAATGTTTGCTTTTGCCTCCCTTTGCTGAGGGCAGTTGTAAGTGCTGCTAGTAGCGCTTCATAATGCTATCTATCGTTGTAGACCAATTGCATAAGGAATGGGTTGCCATGTACTGCAGAATAAATAAATAAATAAAACACGTATGTATGTATGTATTTCGCTTGAAGCAAGCACGGAGCAATTGAGTTCCTTGCTGTTTAAAAAGATACTCATTTATTATGCATACTTATTTATTTAAATAAATACATCTATTTTTGTGTGCTTTCTATGAATTTGTTGGTGCTTATGCTGTGATGAAAAAAAAAACATATGCAATTATTTGTATTAAATAGGCTAAGAAACGTATGCTGGGCAGGAGTATTATTGATACTGGGTTGCTGTGTTGAGGAAATATTTTAGACATTGAACACACTGTATTTGTAATTAAGCTTTTTAGTAAAGGAATGGGAAAATATTCTTTGGTCTCTATGCCGCTGCCTTTTGTCACAGGGAAAGCTTCCAGTACCCCGCTCGATTCCTTGCTTTTAGGAGTATGTAATAGTTATATAAGTAATTAGCTAAACATAGATGATGATTTATATGTTAGCATACATTTACCAAATACATACTACAAATGAACGTGTCTACATAAATATTTGTATGAATATGTACATATGTATGTACCTGCTTTACTCAGAAAAACGTGTGATACGACGAACTAACTCCGAAAATTCGGAGTAGACATTTTTATTTTATTTTTTTTTTAATTCAATAAATGCACTCCGAAAATTCGGAGTGTAAATTTCGGATTTTTTTTTGTTTCCAGCACAGTCAAAAATGTTAAACTTTTCAGACAAAAACTCGTTCATTTCTATTTTCTATAAATGAAAAAAATATCGCTCCGAAAATTTGGAATTCAAGTTTACGATAAGTATTAGAGCCTCTAATAGCATATACACATTATTTTGAGCAGTTCTCATTTCTTGAAATGCTATAAGAATTACTCCGAAAATTCGCCATTTAAATTTACGAAAATTGTTTAATCTTCTCCATACCTCTTCTCTATCAAAGAACGTAGTACTCCGAAAAACGTTAATTTACAAAATAAGGAAAATTTTATTTAAAAATTTTTAAAACACATTTCGAAGTTTCCTCCTAAGTTTAAGGGTTTGACTGAAAAACTCTGTTTCAATGGTTTTTTTTTCTAATAAATATTAGTCCCCGAAAAGTTTTTAAGTATATTCCGAAAATAACTTTTAATTCATTCAGGAACATCAAATTAAGAAAAATCTTCGTTTTAAAAAAAGTTGCTTTCTCTCAAAATGTTGTAGCCTTAAAGTTAGAAAAAAAATCGTTTCCGAAAAAGTTTGAACTCCGAAAAAATGTTTCTTTTAAATCTATTAAATTGGTAAAATAAAAAATTTCGTTTCCGAAAAAAAAATTTGGTGTCTACTGCGAATATCTTTTGATTTAGCTCAACAAAAGCGGATTCAATTCATTTATGTATATTTATGTATGTACATAAGATCTTCTAAAATTTTTTATTTATTTTGTCTTTAATTCCTATATTCCATAAAAAAAGTGCGGTTTCAAACAAATTAGGCGTTAACTTCGGAGCGAAGCTTTTACTTTAATCATATGAAACTAAAAAGAAAAACATTCTCTCCTAAAGCTTAACTGCACAATAATATTAGCTAAAAAAATTTTAATTCCGAAAAATCTTCCGAAGAGTCTCTTAAATGGTTATCAATAAAACTTTAATTTTCGAAAAAACTTTAGAAGTTTACTCCGAAATTTTTTAGATTTAGTTCAACAAAAGCACATTCGTTTCCGAAAATTTTCGGATTGCATTGGACAAAAATTAAAACATACATACATAAAAATTTGCCCACGGAATGGTTGGTTCGCCTTTGTCTGTAGCTCGGATATTCAATTGTTGCTTAGCGATATTTAAAATTTAAATTTATAGAAAAGTTCATTTTACTTGGGGGAATATCTTCAACTTTAATCAAACAAAAGCAAAAAAAGCATTTGCTCCCAAAGGCTTTCAAGCTGCACCCGAAAAAAATTGGTAGCTAAAAAATATGGATCACGAAAAATTTTGGATTCGATATTGAAAACTAGATTTTGCCCGTAAATACCATATTCGAAAATAATAATGTGTTTTGTTTGCTTAAAGTTTAGATATTTACTCCGAATTTTCGGTTTGGACTTGGATCCATGAAATGATGCCAAAAATTTTCCTAGTAGATTACGAAAATTTGATTTGAGAACAGAATTTAACATTTGAAATTTTTTTCAGAAATATATTCTTAAGCCAAATTTCATTGAAAAACAAAGAAATTAGCAAAGAAAATTTCAAAATTTCTGATTTCGAACGTAACTAGGCCGACTTACTCAAGCACTCGAATTATATTTTAGCGTATGTATGTAGCACACTCATGCATCCATAATAATTTTTTTGTTGTATTTATCTGCTACTTTCGTAATGGCTATCGATCACGTGTGTAATTTTATATATCTATTCTTTTATTTCATTTCAGATAATGTAAAAAAACAGCGTGCGTATGCTCAAACTTGCTTTATCTCTCTCACACAAACATTTGCATATTAAAAGTTAGCAAAAAAAAATTACCAAAACAAATCAACACAAAATCCACTCACAAAACCAAAACTTAATAAAAGCTCTATCTCGCTCTATAATTATACCCGCAAAACTATCCCCAAACCATCCGCAAATAACCGCTACATTTCACTGAGTTAGTGCCAGGGATATTGGTTGAACTTCCTTGTGAAAGCTTGTGTATAAGTGTGTGAAAGCTCACCGTTGAAAGCTTCCGGAAATATATAGCCAAAATAAGCATAGCAACAGTGAGTAGTAGCAGCAGCGCTTGCAAAAAGTGTCAACAATTTAAGGACAGTGTAAAAAAGAACTAAGCTCAAATAAACGCGCGCTTTTAAGCTTCATATCGGTTCGCCGCCTGCTCCCCTATCCACAAACGAAATTAAAACCCCCGGCTTGTACCCGCATATTTACATTGATACATCTAGAGTACTTTCATACATAGTACACAAGAAGTAAAAGTGAAACGAAACGTAAAACTTAAAACCGCCAAAAAGCTCCCGCTGCTAGTATAATTTGCTGCAAAAAAGTGAGAAAATATTTTCAACTTAATTATATTAATAATTCCTTGTTGTGCGCCTGCATATAGCCGCTGCATTAAACAAACCATTTAAGTATACAAATATAACGTGCAGCAAGTAACGGAAATCAGCTGTTGAATTCTGTACTTTGACACCTGAAAGTGGACCACGCATATGTACATGCTTAGGTGTAGCAAGTAGCAATTAGCATAAATGTGCGCCAAATATTGCGTAGCTTGCCATTTTGTTGCTAAGCTTTAAAGTTGCCGTCGAAAATAATTGCCGCGCAAAAAGCTCATTGTTCCAAAAAAGCAGCACAGCCGCGCAGTGAGCGCACTATACTCTACTTGAATGCAGAACTTATACATAGCCTTCTAGTATAAATCTAAGCGCATCTAAGCGAAAACCACGTTTTTTGAAATTCTAGTCATCGACTATTTCACGTTGCCATAGTGACGAGGAGATGTGAGCAAAAACGCGTCAAACGTGAGCAACAAGTGTTTTTTTTAGCAGAAAACCGCGCCGCAGGTGTCAGCCGAAACGTCATATGTATTCGCATTTTTCATGAAATTAAAAATTTTGAAATTTCAAAAACGCTAAATTTTTCAAAATAAACACGCCGTTTGACAGTTATTGGAAAAAAGTTTTTTTTTTTAACAAATAAACAAAAAGTGAGCTCAACAACGCAGACAACGAAGGCTCTAGTCGAGCCACGACCACCAACCAACTGCGTTATATCCGTGGTGAAACCTCGCAAGCTTGATAAAAGCTCAGCGGAAAACGCTAGCAGAGAAGGAGGACAAGTGGGTGATAGAAGCAGCAAAAGTCTACGTAATTGATTTGGCAAGGCCTACATACTACAACAACAGCAACTCGAAAGTTCATTGATTGCTTGCTGCTAATCGGAGGCACAATCAAAGTGCAAGAGACTAGAATTCATTTGTGATAGCAAATTCTTAAAAAAAACGCGTTTACTTCGCGATTCGGGTGTGACACTTTCTAAAAAAAAATTAAAGGGTAAACCAAATTTTACCAATAACATCCCGTTCCAAATAACAACACAAAAACACTCACAAACAAAAAAAAGTATAAACAACTAAAATGGCAGCTGTCGTGCACGTGAATAGCCTTTTGAATGGCAAGGATTCACGCTGGCTCCAATTGGAGGTGTGTCGCGAATTTCAGAGGAATAAATGCTCCCGCCAAGATACTGAATGTAAATTCGCACATCCGCCCGCCAACGTGGAGGTACAGAATGGAAAGGTGACCGCTTGTTATGATAGCATCAAGGTTAGTAGCTTTTTTGTGTAGTTTTATTTAAATATTATTTTATTTATGAAAGCTTTGTATGCTTAGCGTAATATAAAGCATCTATTTAACTTGCTACCGATCCCTTTCGCCCTACTATTCTCAATCAAATGCCAGTTAGACTTAATACGTGTGCTTTAAGCTTTGGTTTAAACGAGTTTTATTTAGCGCTTTTAAGCTTTGAGGCATGCTGATTACAAGTAAGCCGCTTTAGGAACCCCTAAGCCTGCTTTAGCTTTTAAGCTTTCAAATGTTTTGTGCCATCGTCGAACTTGTCATACTCGCAGATACTTGGATTGTCTTTCCGCTTTCTGCTTAAAATCGGTTTTGTAAAAGCTCTGAAGTAAACTTTTAAAGCTTAACTTTATTTTCTAAAAACAGTTGCAGAAAATCTTTAAAAAAAAATCTTATTAGCGCTTTCCAAGCTTAATTTTTTTGCCGCTGTTTCGCACTTAAGCACTGATTGTTTACTAAAGTTGTTGCTTTAAAGCTTCCAAATTAAAAACACGTTTACTTAGTGCCTTGTTTTAATAATTATCATTACAATTAAACAAAAAATAAAACGGGTTTTTTTAAGTTTTAGATAAAGGTTACAATATTTTGAAAAAATTTTGATTCAAGCTCGTTCTACCGTTATTTCAGAAAAAATTATGCAACACGTTTTAGCCGAAGTACGGTGACCAAAGAGCAAAAAGAACCAACATAAAATTTATGAAAAAAGCTTGTGAAATTAAAGCCCTAAGTTGGCCGAGTAAATACTAGTCAATTGGGAAAGTATTTTAAGTGCAGTAGCCCTTTGTTAAATGCTAAGCAAGTGCACTTTCTATAAAGAAAATATAGTAAATTAAAAGTTCAAGTAAGCCACATGAGCTTTAAAACTTATTATTATCTAGAAAATTTAGTGTTTTGGGATTAATTATACAAAAATGGTTTATTTTATGCTCTTTAAAAAAATAACTGGCGCCTGAAATGCTCAATGAGTGCATGAGTGTTGCTTCAAAACGCAGAGCTTTTCATTTTTTAAACTAAAGGTAAGGCGTTGTTGACCTAGCGATATTAAAAGTGTTGGACTAAAGCTTAGCTAAGTAAGCTTTTTTTTAAGCTTATATGCCTTTCTAGAGCTATATTGTAATTCGTTGCAACGTATGCTTAGGTTTAAAAAGTCCAAGCTTTTTTTCAAGAGCTTACATTTTTTTCATCTGGTACCTTGAGCTGGAGCATTTTAGAGGATATAAAATATGAAGGCAGCAATGAGCCGGGAGAGCTTACACTCTATGTACGGCTATGTAAATTGTATAGAAGGCTTGGAAACGCCCCGCCCAGCGCTAATGTAAAGCCAAGTTTATTTTTGTAAACTTTCAAGCTTTCTTGTAAGAAAGACTCTTTCTTGCAGCATGAACTTTAAGAAGCTTTTTTAAAGTTGATCCAGTATCTCTTACTATATAAAAACTACATATTTTCTTCAGTACATAAAATCCACTTACTTTATTAGTAGGCCTCTTATAAGAAAGCATTTCGAATTAAAAAATTGCAAATACATTTTTTTACAACTTTCTGCAAAAGGGAAGGAGAAGAATTAAAAAGTCAAAACGTCAACATCTTCTCCCTCCCTCTTTAACGAAACAAAATGGCTGACGATGTGTAATCTAGCAATTTTCCATATCAACGCCTTTCCTTTGTGTAAACTAAAACTTGTCCTAAACAGCTTTTGATATCTTTGCGCCTTTCATAAGCCGGAAACGTAGTAAAGCTGCTAAAAAAATGCAAACAAAATTATGATTTTTATTCTACAAAGCGACGGTGAAGTGCCCCTGTTTATAGCCAGCATGGCATTGAAAATGAGTCGAAATAGGAGTAGAGTCTAGTCGCGTAAGTGCTCTGCTTGAGATGTGATGAATACTTGGCGGGGCGAGATGATTTCAAAGTAGTATAGAAAAAATTGGCAACTAGCGAAAAGTGGAAAGTAAAAGAGCGTTAACAAATTAGCCGCTGAGGGACATTAAGGCACTTGAAGAGGGAAGCGATGGCGGGTAACGTTTTTTTTTTTTTTATAGACTTAAGAAGGCGTTGGAAATATTCGGAGTCAATTAGTACTCTGCCGGAAAAGCAATACTAAGCAAATATATTGCTTGAAAAATTAACTTCAACGAATTTCGGAGTAGGTACAATGTACAATATATTTTCGACCAATGCAAAGAACAAGATACCTATTACTCCGAAAAACTATACGCCGTATAAACGTATTAAAAATTCGGTTTTCTGAAATACACATAAAAAGTGACTTTTTGAGTATATCTAGACTTTGTCCGAAAAAAATCGGATTCTATTATTCAGTTTTCAGCACAAAACAGAAAAAAACAAATTTTGTTTATGAAAATTTATTTTTCGGAGTTTACTCCGAATGCCTCAATTATGAAAAATTTGAACTTTCTTATAATGACATTTGAAGTTCATATGTATATAATTAATATAACGTTTTTTCCGAAAAAATTTCGGAGTCTACTCCGAATTACATTTTGCACTCAAAAGTTGCGTAAATTTTAGAAATTTCGTTTATTTTGGTTAGATTTTGGATCTTACCGAAATATTGCAAAAAAATAGCATAATCTTGACAGGTTTTACATAGATTTTCAGACAACGCTTAAAATATTACAGCTGAAATTTAATATGAAATAAATAATAATTTTTCATACACAATTCATTTTTAGTCGCAGTCGTTTTTCATCCACTCTTTGGTATCTCTTCAAAATGCCCATCTGATTTGTCATCGCTTGAAATTTAAATATTTAGCCCACAGTAAGGAGCACAGGGATAAATACTTCTTGCTTCAATTTCTATAGCCTGTAGAACTTTATACTTGCCTCAGGGTTTTAATTCATTCTTTTGTGGCGTTAATTCAACAACTCGGCCACCAGCTTCCTAAATGAAACACACCAGCTATCGATTTTCTTCAACTTATACGCCGACTTACTACCGAAAAGGGGGTTTAGTCAGCAATTTCTCTTACCTTGCGTCTTCAGAGCTTAAAAATTATGACCCTGTTGAAGTAAAACTCACTTAATTGAGCTACTTAACTGACGCCAGTTTGTGTGTCACTGCCGCACCTGGTTAAGCAATTAACTACAATTTTATAGTTTGCTTTTCGGCGCTACTTTAAACTTGCTTCTTTTGTTTGTTTGTATGTATGTATGTATGTGAAAAGTGCCACTGAAGGGCTTTTTAATTTTGTAGAGCGGCAAACGGCTAAATTTTTATGCTCCGGCGGTTTTTTAGTTTCTTTCATTCTCCTCGCTTTTTGACAAATATTCTCATAACGCTACAAATGGCTCAAAGTGGCTCAACATTTTACAAGCGCATGAAAGGCGTTATGCGACAAGACTTCTTACAGTTGAACAGCTTTGAAACCATTATTGGATAAACATAATTATAATTGTTTAGTAAAACGATTTACTGCATTTGAATGAAATTTTTCAGCACAGTTACTTTTAAATACAAACCAGTAGAGAAAATTCAACATTGCCCGAACGCGAATGGCTCAATATGAAGCAAAGTGCTTTACTTTTGAAATAAGAATATTCAAGCCGAGCTAAGTAGCTGCTGAGTGAAAATTCGATGCAAAAAAATGATGTATGATTCAATGGAAATAGTTATCTTAATTGCTTTTGAATCAATTGCTTGGCTCAAAGTGGCTCAACATGGTCTATATGTGTTCATAAGGTTATGATACAGTACTGGCATAGCTGGAAAATGGCTAAATAGAAGAGTACAGCTAAACTTTGATGACCTAAATCCATCTTAAAATTTAAAGAAATCTCAAAGATGTGTCAGAACATATGTAAGTGTATGGACTCTATGTTATACTTAAATAGAATATCACCGCTCAAAATGGCTCAATATGAACTTAAATTCTTTTTAATAAAAGTAGCTGGATTTTTTATGAAACTAGGTTATATTTGCTTTATATATATCGCAAATTCAGCGCTTTCGATTAGTGAATGATTATATATGTATGTATGTATTGAGAACGGTTTAAAAATTCATTTTGAGTACTTAAGCCAAATTATCTCTCTTACTGTAGCATGATTATAAAATGTCAATAGATAAGTTCCTGCCTGATATTGTACACTTAAAAGTGGTATATTTTTTCATAAGTTTTTTTCTACAATTTAACTAGCTCCCTCTTTAAGCCACGCAAGCATGGACCCCTACATACACAAATATAAATACATATATACTTTTTCTCGTTTCGCTTGCATTCATGCACGTCCTTTTCTTTCTATGTGCATATGCTCAAATAAACGCAGACATTCATTGCCCACAAATTAATTGTATTATCCTATTAATTAACTATTCAGTAAGCGTTTTCATACAATTCGTCCTTTTTGTGTAAACATCAGTTGCATTCGCGCACACACACTTTTATTCGTCGACTGTGGTGGGTCGCTCGCACTTGCACAGGTGTGTAAATAGCAAATGTAGATATGTATGTACATACTTAGGTGCACTTGGCATTTGTGTGCATTCATTTCCATTCTCTTTCCGTTCTACCCTCATTCTGCGTCCCATCTGCATACATATCTTTTTTTTTCTTTTAATCTCCTCCTTTGTGTCATTATACAATCTCTCTTATAATATGTGTCCCTCCATTACACTTTTCATTTACTTACCTTCTCCGTCTGCTTTATTTGCATCATAAGTGAGTGGCCCCCAAGTGGCTTACCGAGTGGTCTACTAGGCGTATGTGGCACCTGCATAAGCGCGTTTGTTTGTCAGTGAAAGCATGTGCTTGGACTTTTTTTTTTGCTGTGTGTGTGGAGCAAATGAGCATTTGTTTGCTGGTTTCATTATCTTAACTCAGATGGTCGTGATTTACCTCTGTACCTACTAAGGGTACAGAATTTTGTAGGCTCAGTTACATACTTATACACATAGATATATACGAGAATTACGCCAAATAAATAAAAATGTCACAGAAAACAGTA